AGAATGCCTTCTACCCAATTTCTGTTCCTATTCCTAGTTCTTAGCCCTATACCCATGTTAATAGGTACAGAAAACAAAATGAGACAATTATAGAATTACAAAACTTTTTGAGCAATATTGCCACCATTTTAAGAAACTTACTGATCTACAAAATAATATTAATAGCTTGATAAAGGAAATGGTATAACTTTATACAAAATGCTTAAAGAAAGGTTATTTATTTTCACATATAAATATTTGAACCTACAACTTTAAACATTTTTTTAAGGGATATGGTCAGCAAAAGTATTATGGTTCTGCAAATTTCTGTAATGTTTAACAATCTAAGTTTATAGTTGGTAGTTTTTTTTGTGAATGAAAAATGAGCTTTTTGAAAAATGAGCTTTTTGAAATATGAGGGGACTGATGGTGTACTTGTTCTATTTGTTGTGTCAAAAATCAATCCACAAGGGGCTGGGGCTCAGAGACAGAGTGCTCGCCTAGCACGTGCAAGGTGCTGGGTTCAATCCTCAGCACCACATAAAAATAAATAAATAAAATAAAGATATAGTGTCCAACTACAACTTAAAAAAATCAATCCACAGGGCTGAGAATACAGCTCACTTGATAGAGTGTTGCCTTGCATGCACAAGGCATGGGTTATCCCCAACACCATAAATAAATAAATACATAAATCCACTGAACAATTTTGAACAATTTATAAAATCTAGAAATAGGGCTGGGGATGTGGCTCAAGAGGTTGTGCGCTCACCTGGCATGTGCAGGGCTCTGGGTTTGATCCTCAGCACCACATAAAAAATAAAGATGTTGTGTCCACTGAAAACTAAAAAATAAATATTAAAAAAAATCTGGAAACAATTATCAGCTATCATATATACATATATATATGTCATATATATATACACACACAAAATATGTATACATATGTGTATAATAAATGTTAAATAATATTTTGTATATTTATTACATTTGTTAGAAAATACACTTTTTAATATAATGATTAGGAAAAAGATTCTCCTTTAAAGGCACTGACATAATATACAAATTTCCACACACATTCCCAAAAAAATCTAACCATTCAGAAAAACTGTTTTGTTTGATAATACTGGGAATTAAACCCAATGCCTCATGCATTCTAGGCAAACACTCTACCACTGAGATGCATCCCCAGCCCTTTAGAAAAACTGATTCATAGTAATCAAATTTACCAAAGATGGCTATTTAACTCCAAATGTAAAGCATTTTATGAGCAAAGATTTATACTGATCTATTACTGCATTCTCATTTTAGTAATGAAATTTGTGTAGGAAGCAAATGTTCACATAGTAACCATGGAATCATAACAAGGTAGAATTAATCAGACATATATTGAAAACACAAGAATATGCTCTCATTTACTATACATGTATCCTCAATATGGCTTTTAGCTGAAAAGTAAATGACATGTTTAGATTGGCTAAGTTGAGTACTTATACTGCTAATTTTCCCTCTGTGGCTAAAGTGATACGTGACAACAGGGTGAATCTGTAAAACATAAAGCATTTGTGGAGAATTCTAAGATATGCCTGGGAAAAAGAACTACCAAAAGAAGTGGACTTCTTACAGACATATGAGAAAGGGGGCTAGAATTACTGTTGTTGCTTTATATTAAAGGGAAAGATGTTTCTTACAGTCTAGCAAGGAAGATGTGAAAGTGTTCAAATGTACCATCCTCTCTTTCATCCAAATCTTTTAATGTGATCTCCCCTGTATTTATAACATCTTCCTTTCTGTCTTTATTTTCCTTTGATAGCACCTGGCATCTCTCCTCACCCTTTTGCTCCCCAGGTTTCCTGCCTTTTGTCTGACTTTACTTCTCATCTTTTGGTCTTAATGTAAAAGCAATTTCTTCCAGAAAGGCCTTTCTGACCTCCTAGATATGACACTCAAAGCATCTTATACTTTTTCATGTCCCTTATCCCACATTCAGCAGAAACTAAGACTACACTATAATGCAAATCTTACAAAAGAATAAATGTTTCAGTCTTGCTCTACCTGATATCTTTAGTGCCCAGCACTGTGCTTCCATACTGATTCTTAATAAGTAATTAGGATAAAGTTTAGCTACTTAACAGAGATCTTCAACATTGAGTGGCTTAAAAAAGAAGTTTATTTGTCACTTATGTAGTAGTCCGAGGAGCAAATTCCAGGTCACTTAGGCACCCACGTTCCTTTTATTTTGTTTTTCGCCTATGGTGTTTTCCTCATCCACATGGTTGAAGTTTGGTTGCAGGCAATTCCAGCTCTAGGGAAAGGGAAAGACCTTGGAGAAGCACATATTTAAAATTTTGATGTCCTGGTCTGAAGTGGCACACATCATTTCTGCTCTTGTTCTGCTGGTAAGAACTTAGTCACTGGAGGGCCTGTGAAATGTTATTATCTAGTAATGGGCCCAGCTAAAACTCTGTTATTATGAAAAGAAGAACTGATATTTGTAAAAAAATGAGTAGTCTTCACCACAGCATGGTTGTATGCTTTTCTTTAGCAATATACAATACCTTAAAAAAAGTAGGACAGTTAATGAGTTTGATAGTTTCCTGTGTAACTAAAGAACTAGAAATCTTAGGATAATGAAAAGGGAATGATTTGAAGTCGCAGGCTATTATTATAACTAGGCTAATAAGAAATCAATAATAATAGCTGCTACCAGTTAACATTTATTATGTGTCAGGTATTATTCAAAGGGCTAAGAGTATACTGACTTGTTGAATATTTATAATTATTGAGGTAGGTACCATTATTCTGTTTTACATTTGAGTAAATAAAGGCACAGAGATTAAGTAATTTGCCCAAAGTGATACAGCAAATTAGAAATTGAGCTGGGTTCAAAACTGGTCAGAATTAATCTGGTTCCAGAGACCATATTCTTGACCACAGGATTACACTGCCTCAACGATAACAACTACTATCTTTGAGTACTTAGTCTATTCAGACAGCATACTAGTATTTCACATTTTTCACCTTATTTAATCCTGATAAGGATTTGATGCTTATAAAGTAGGTATTACTTTTATTTTACATTTAAAGCGCCTTAAATTTAGTTAATTATTGCTCGAGGCCATATAGTTTATAAAAGAAAAACAGGATCAAATCCACCTCTGTGTGACTGTAAAGTCCATTTCTTATGTTTAAATTTCTAAATTTTTTATTGAGGTAGAATTCAGCTATTGTAAGTATATAATTAAGAGTTGGACAAATATATACCTGTGTAGCCAACAACATAAGCAAGATATAAATCATATCTGTTACTCCAGAAAGTTTACTTCTGCTTCTTTCCATTAAATTCTTCCCGCAGAGGCGATCACTGTTCTGGTATCTATTATCATAGATCTGTTTAGTCTATTCTTGAAATTCAAATAAATGGAATCTTGTACTATTTACTTTTGTGTGTAGAGTTTTTTCTTTCAATATGTCTTTGAGATTTATTCATGTTACTGGATATTAAGAGTTCATTGTTTTTACAGTATTTAGTTGTCTGAATATACCAAGTTACTTATTCATTCTTATACTGATAGACATCTGAGTTGCTTCCAATTTTTGGCTATGGATGAAAAAAGATACTATAAACATTAATGTTCATTTTTTTGGTGGGTATATATATTTTAATTTCTCTTGGCTAAATACCTAAGAGTAGAAATATACTGGATTAAACAGTAGATGCATGTACAGTATTAAAAGGAAATTCCAAATAACTTTCCAGGTGGTTGCAGATGTTTTACATCATTTGGCGTTGCCAATCTTTTTAATATTAGCTCTTCTCGTAGGTATTTCTTTGTGCTTTTAATTTGTGATTCCTTGATGATTGAAGAAGTTGAATACTTTTAAATGTGTATATGACCATTCCCATCCATTCTGGAAAGTGTTTCACTGTTTTCCCTGTTTAAAATTAGGGCATTTGTCTTTTTATATTGATTTAAAGTGAACTCTGAATTTTCACTTATAACTTCTGTCATATATATTTTAATAGCACTCATTTCATTATCTTTTTTTTCTTTTCATTTTCTTAATGGTGAGTTCTGATGAGCACAGTTTTGAATACTGATCAAGTCCAACTTATTAACTTTTTCTTTTCTTTCCTTCCTTA